GTCTGCAAAATCAAAGTTCTACTGAATATTTAGATGAGTTCCATTAAAAACAAGAGTAAGTTAAGCCTTAAATATCTACTGGGGAGGTTGTATATTAGGAAGTGGTTGGTTATAAAACAAAAACAAATATTCAAGAAACAATGAATGAGGATTTCCAAACATGATCAGAGGGGGGGAAAGGGTGAAATGGAATAATACATAAAAATTTGCAACACTGATTCACAAAACGGATTCAAGTAGGTCTGCACTTTGTAATGATCAGAAGTAACAGGATAGATCCGAATACTTTCCTCACTGCCAAGTTCATTCTGGTACTAGATCAGAACAAAAGTGCTTGTGAGGACACACTGTAGAGAATTATTACAGGGAGAACTTCTCCCAGGCACAAATTCATTTTATTGGACAACTTTCCCCATGTTATATACTACTGGCGCAAAGCTGAGTTTAAATTAAATGAGTTTAATGCTACGCTCTTAAATACTCACATCCAGACAAGATAATGACTAGAAACTATCAATGTACAAATTGTTAAAATAAAGGTTTTCTAGTCTGATGGCCTAACTTTGTAATGAAATTCATTAAAAGCACCAATGTTCTGAAAGCACTAATATCAGGGACCCTCCTAATTTTAATCCAGTGGAGTTCCATTTGCTATCAACAAATGAACTTTATCAAAAGTATTTTTCACTCTAAATTATGCTTTTGTATATGAGAATAGACCTACCAGAATCTGCACAGCAGAGGATAAACTATCTAAGGGGAAATCAGGAAGACCCAATGAAGAAGATTCTTGGGTGCAGAGAGTCGTTGCAAAAGACAACAGCTGTGAGATCCTAGAAGTAAAACAATCAGTATTAACTTGAACAGAATACTTTACACTTACAATAATTTGGAATAGCCATTTAAGTAAGAAAAAACTTGGCACTACATGGATCCTGAGTGTAAGCAGACAATGCGCATTTGGTCTATGTCCTAAAGGAGCACTGTCAGTTCAACCCTGAGCTACACATATTCGCTTCTATTGTAGCACTCTCAGTCAGGCATTTGTGAAGAATATATGGCCTTAGAACCTGCGTCTTTGCAGCTTGGCTCAGGATACTGCTGACAGTTCAGATGTACAATTTTGCCTTAAATTTATTGTACACAATATGCATAATTTAAAGAAAGAGGGAGAAGATCTGTTTTCACACCGGACTAAGTTGCAACAAAACTGGGGTTCAAACATTCTTAATTTCACATGCAGCAAACCATCTGCTTTCCCTTTTAACCTGAGGGCAGTTTTCCATGGTATCTAAATTCAGGGAACTGTGATTTAATTTACCATGTTTTTAGAACAAGAACAAATGATTTAAGTCAGAGTTTACCTAGTGTGTACTTACACACTTAGGTTAAACAAATCACAGTCTTACGCAATCAGAATTTCAGCTCAGGCTGATTAAAGATTTCATTTTAAGTTTATTACTGAGAATTTGTCATCCTATTACAAATATTTAAATTCCAATATTACTTTAACAGGCATTTCAATTTTACATCCAGAGGCCCAACTTCCAAAAACAAATTCTAAGAACACTAATACAGAGATTTAATATGCATATTTACCTTTCTGTTGAAACATTATTTCCAACAAAGTGCAGCTGTGAAAGATGGTCCTAAAACAAAATGCATCACATTAGTCTATAAATCTTATTGAGCAAGGCCCATTCTACTCTAGGATATAATTATCTAGGCTGTAACAGTTGGATCTGGGTTTATTGATGACTCTAATGCTTTATATACAATCAGTCTTTTATACCAAAGTACTTAGCTTTAGAAAATGAAATCACTTTTAATTTCTAGTAGTTTTTTTTTTTTTGGCAACACTTGCCTTCTTTTAATTAATTAATTGGCCAGTAAGGAATATGTATACTAAGCTTCAGCAAACATTTTAAAATTAAGATTTGCAACATTTACTTACCTTAAAGGGTAGGTAATAAATATCTCTAGCCTGAAATCTAGACCGAAGTGGTGGGTCTAATGGGTTACCCAAATATCGGGGTACAGGAAGGCCCAGTGCAATCACCCTGAAGTTTTCACTGACTCTAACAATCCTCCATGCATCCAACTCTTCTTTTTCATGCTCCTAAACATAAGCAATATAATGAAAACTTATTATAAACTATTATTATAATTCAACAATGACTTCAGATAAAGAGAATCCAGTGAAGACCTATATGAATTTAGCAACAAAGAAGCACAGTGAACGTATATGATAGTACCCTTTTGTTAATTTCAATAAAATAAAATAAAATCAGAATTCCATCTTGACTTCAGTGTCTTAATAATTACTTTACATATTACAAATTATTCAAGCCTCTGTACATTCATTGTGTTTTCTCAGTGAACTCCATAAACTAGAGGAGGAAAGGAAAAAAAAAGAAGGTATGCATTTCCCACAGGAAAACTTCTCCCACTGAAGGGAAGCAGCACTGTAGATCCAGTCAAACAGTGTGATCTTCGTTCTGACTCTTCTGACCAGCTCCATGAAATCAAAGCTCTAGAGCAGTGTTTCTCAAACTTGGCAAGTTTAAGATGATGATCTGGGTGGTAATTCCTTGATCCTCTTGCTCACCATCCCTTGAAGCTGTGGGAAGTGGTTGCTCACTCCCCTGAAACGTGAAGAATGTACAGGTATTCCCAGCCTGGTAATATTTTGCAAATCAGCACTACTGTGCGAATACAAATTATACCCCCAAAATCTAGACTCTTGCATATTCCAACATAAATTTTGAACTGTGGAGAGGAAGTGATGCTTTATTCTCAATAAGCTCTAATTTGGCCAGATGGGCTTCATTTTTCATGCAAGAGCAATCCCTAACAAAAAATTAAAATACTGTTCTAACCAGACTATAAAAAGGCAGACTGATTTTCATAGCGGAATAATTTTTCTTTCAGTATCACTGTTCTTGAATTTAAAAACTATACTATTCAGTGCATAGCAATTGATAAACCAGATTAATCTTAGAGATACAAGCATTGTAATAGGAGAATATTTTGAGCTTTCTAATTCTAACAATGATCTGATTGTGCATTATGGAAGCTTTAAACTTATTGTTCAATTATCTGAAGTTTTAATTGATTAATTGGAGGGGATATGCTAAATTTTCAGGGCAATTAATTAAACTTATTGTTCAATTATCTGAAGTTTTAATTGATTAATTGGAGGGGATATGCTAAATTTTCAGGGCAATTAATTAAACTTATTGTTCAATTATCTGAAGTTTTAATTGATTAATTGGAGGGGATATGCTAAATTTTCAGGGCAATTAATTAAGACAGGAATAAGAACCTTTTTTGGACAGGGAATGGATGGGAAGTTATCCAGATGAAATTAATATATTTTTGGTCTGGGTTTTTTTAGAAAAAAAAAAAAATATATCCAAGCATACTAAGAAAAGGATGGAGGAATTTTAAGATGTGCCTGTACTCAGTGAAATCTAGTGAGTTATAGATTTTGTTTTACAGAATTGAATCAAATAGATCAAACACAAAGTGGATCACCAGTTTGAAAGAAGAAAGTTGGGATAATTTTGCCTTATAGAGAGAAGGAAAGTGGACTGAATATGTATATATGAAGGAAGAATGAATGGGCCGAAACAAAAGAGAAGACTAAGAAAGTGGTTGATTGGTTAGAATGAACTGATAGACTGAATTGATGAGATCTTCAGAGAGAGAAAGGTGAAATGTTTAAAGTAAAAAAGGCGATGCTTGAAGTGGGGTATAGATATGAGGGAGCAGAAATGATTTGCAAGGAAATATGGAAAGGTACAGTGAATAGGGTTGGTGTACATTAGTTTTAACTATATTTCTTCCTCTTTTTCCACCTATCTCAGGCCTTTAATTTCCTTGGCTTAGTATTTCTTACACCTCTCAGGACTCTACATAAGACTGCTTACACCAAAAGGTAACAGTGTGATGGATGTGTATGTATATTATGCATGTATATTTAATTTATTAGCTGCTCAAACCCACATTTTTTTTTCTTTTCAAAAGAAAACATGATCACATTTTTAGATTTGTAGGACCGATAACTAAGTGGAAATTACATATCGATGTATCCTAAACGTGCGTATGCAGCTAGCATTCAGGGGATAGAAGGAAGGACAGACCATTTGGGTTAAAAGCAATCCACCTGGATTTACTGGCTAAATGACAATCTACCTATAAAATAAACTTTCAGAAGGTTAAGAGTTCTTTGGAAATGTTTATTGAGATCCATTCATTCTGTACAAAATACTTTGTTGTCAACCTAAAGAAACCTGAGCATTCTGTTTACCTTCAGCAGTTTATCATAACGTTCAGCTGACATGAGGAAGCGGCCATCTTCCAGCTGCATTTCCCTGTTCTCCAGCAAATTGTTCAAGACCGGGAGGACGTTCCGCTCAGCCTTCTCCAAACCTTCTAGAACCAGGATCCGACCTTCTGTAGCTGCACGCACTGCACACTTATTAATCAAAACAAAATCAGCACCAGAAATAGGAATAGCTGGATACAGTTTGCAAAAATACTTGACAGTGAAGGCCTGTTTGTCTTCAAGTTACTGTCATCCAACAATCCAGATCAAGAACAGAGGACAAGAAGAACTGCATCAGCAGCAGAAGAAAAAGCCTACAGAACAGCTTGAGGGGCCTAACTCACATGAGCCCACATATATATAAAAAGGGGAGGGAATATTAAAATTAGGGTAGCAGGAAATTTACATGGGGAGAAAGCCAAATTAAGAAAGGAAAATGAAACAATGATCCTATTGTGACATTCATTCCTTGAAACAGTGAAATGAAAACTTTGTACAACAAAACCTACCCTTTTTCCTGGCAATCTTAAAAAAATTACAACATAGAAAGCAGTTTCCTATTGAGTTAGAACAGTGATTTATCTAGGTTAGTATATGCTCCACTGACTCAGAATAACTCAACAGAGTTTAAAATAGAAGCTGCTCCTAGCTCTTGTAACAGATTTCAAGCACTGTGTCCTTTGTCTCTAAAATATTGAACAGCCATAGCTTTTCTTCAAACAGTGTCACGGGACACACAGATAGGTTGCGAACAAGCGAGAGCAGAGCACTCTCTATATTTTACACTCTGGATTTTCAGCAAATAAATTCTGAAAGAGTAAGAACTGAGGTTGTTATGGCTGCTCACTTGGTCAATGTAGTAGGCAGTGCCAGCTCGGATCTCCCTCCGCTGTTTGAGATCAGTTTCTGTTGTGTCCCTGGAAAGTGCCATATATTCTACCTCTCGTTTGGTCAGTTCCTACAGAAAGTGGAATGATATTGGATAAAGTAAATATTTATAATCTGTTTAATTTAACAGCAAATTATTCAATACAGCACAACTCCAAACAGCAGTAGGTCACTGAGTGGAAACAAATGTAAGCCTGAAGCCTAGTTTAGTGTTCTCCTTCAGTCATCATGGCTTCATTTTTTTTAATTATATCTGGTTTTATCAATAATCAGGACCCAGGTTTCCCTTCCTCTACTGAGGAAGTTCACTAGTCAGGCTGGACAAGGCAAAAATTGCTGAGGAAATCAACGAATTAATCTTCCTTCCTCTTTCTAGCAATAAAGGGTATCCATAAAAGCTCATTCAGACCCTGAAGGCAGACTGAAATGGCTCTAGATAACTGACCTCTCTAAGGACATTTGCCATTGCTATCTACTCTGTGATAGAGAAGGTAAAGAGTATCTACAACTAGGTGGTAGTTACCCAAAGTTATCTGCATCCAAAGTGATGCTTTCAAGGATAGCCATATTGTCCCTCTCCTATCCAAGCAACAAAATACACTTTATGAAATTGTGGTTGGAGTAGATGATGCCACCAGGGGCTGAGAATAGGAATCTAAATCCAGCCCAAAGTTCAACTACTGCAAACACCATACCATGATCTGAATTCTTAACCCCAGTAAGATCCACAGGCTCAGCAAGTTCATTTTCAGATACTACTAGGAGTTTCAGAGTGCAATTTAATAATGATGAAGCAAAGTTGGTGGTTCTCAGTCCAATCTTTGAGAAGGGAACACGTTTAACTACAATTAAGAGAGCATCAAGGTCATATCTGAATATACCAATAAAACTTCTATGTTGTTTTAAGCTTCTTAAAGAAAAGGCAGGATAATGCTTAGCCCAATAAACAAAAGAAAAACAGCAATCTAAAAAAATTCAACTTGAGCATTCCTGGTATGAATCAAAGATTGCAAAACTGAGAAACTGTTCTACAACTCCTCATTATGAACCATAAAATCACTATATGTTGCAGTCTCCTTTGTATAGAAACATAAGAATTGTGATGACAACTTCAGTACTCTTAATGCAGAGTTTCTCAACCTTGGCATCTTTAAGATGCATGGACTTTAACTCCCAGAATGCTGGCTGGGGAATTCTGGGAGGTGAAGTCCATACATCTTAAAGTTGCCAAGATTGAGAAACACTGCTCTAATGAAAATCTCCAAAACCTTACCAAGTACTGCATGGCAATAGAACGTCGAAGAGGCCCTGGAGGTCCAATAAGGAAAACATCTTGGCCCAGAAGGTCTTTCTGCATGATCCATCTTAGATGCTGAATCACAGACTGAGCTAGAGAATCTGAAACTAAATGAAAGGATGTAGCATGAACTTTTATCTAATTTAAGAAACTTTAAACAATTCATTTTACATTCTCAAACAATGTTATTAAATCCAACACTGCCTTTCTCTTCCTGAATTTACTTTTTTAACTTATACTTTTAAAGTTCACTGTGCTTTCTAGTTCAAGACTGATTGCGTACCCAATCATGCTTGAGTCCAATTAACTTAATAAAATACTGTGTGTATAATGTCTAGAGGGCTGGGCTTTAATTGTGGGAAAATAGAACCAAATCCATTATTTTCACGAAATAAGCTCAGGCTTATCATACATTTTTGAATCTAACCTAATCTATAGGGCAAGACCACTGTTTTCAGATAAAATGCCTACAGTTACTCTTATCCTTTAAGTAACTATAAGGAAATCATACCAATATTGGACCCCCCATCCCACAAGCATAAGATAATTTTTTTTAACTCACTGTTACTGAAAAACAAATAGGACAAAGATGGGAATGTGAGATGTCCAGGAAGATATTCAGACAAATTATACTATAGTTGAAAAGCTTGATAACTTGCAAATTATAATTCCCCCCCCCTCGGGGAACGGTACATTTAGCCTGACATAAAGCAGAGATGTTCTAGTAGTAGTAATCAAAGCTTATGACTTACTTTATTTGTAAACCACTTTGAGATTTTTAATGGAAAGTGCTCTACAAATGCTGCAAATATGCAAATAAATAGATTCACCACTGCCCTAATCTGCTTCCTGGGCACTTTTACAGTCCTCTACTTTTAAAGCCTTTGAGGGGAATCGGATGCTCAGGACCTGAGCTTTTATGCACCAAAGCTGCTCCATCAACTCAATTTTAACTACTGTGAAGTTGTCCCATGCCAGTTTGTGACTAAATACCTGAACTGACACATTATCTAGGAAAAAAACCTGTGCTCTGTTATGCCTGAGTCAGGATTGGCTGTGGGTGACTCAGATTGGTGCCTGGACACAGTGGTAGTCTAGATTTAGACAAATGGACCAAAATCAGACTGAAATTCTCTAGATGGGTACCTTCCCATATCTGGGGTTTTGAGAGTTTACATATTCTGGATAGGACTGGACTTCCCTTGCAGGACAGGTACAGTATGTAATGTGGTAGTGTATATGAATTCATCTTTCTCACTTATATACTGTAACATGATTCAGAAACTTCCAGCTAGTGCAGAATGCACTTACTAGGTTGCTCAATAAAGCCCCACACCAACCACACATAATCTTATTGCTAAAGATTCTGCACTTGCTATTAACTACAGAGCCAAGTCTTATGAAAAGGATCTTGTGTGGCACAGGACCAGATTATGTGTGGCACAGTCTTATGAAAAGGATCTTGTGTGGCACAGGACCAGATTATCTGAAAAAAGTGTCTACTTCTATGCAATTCTATTCAGCCCTGCTGTTTAGGAGAGGGCATCCTGCTGACCATGTCCTGGCCTGGTGAATAGTATGCTTAGAGTCTAAGAGAAAGTCATATCCTAACCTAACCATCTGGATATTCCTCTTTTATCAGTTAAGAGAACAGCCTCCTCACTGTGAGTGACAGAAATTATTTGCCTGTAAGATAAATGGGATCCTAAAGGAAAAACTATCCAGTTGCTGAGATTTCTGTAACCTTATTCTATCCTCTTTCAATAAATCTTGTTAAAGAAACTCTGGAAACTGGTTTCTGTGGAGATGGAACAACTAAGAACTTGACATCACCTTATACTCAACAGTGGTGTCAAACAGAAATTCTCCACTCTGTCACCTGCAATGGGGAATAATCCGCCCATGGAGATTAGATGGGTTCTTGTCATCTAATAAATCTTAAATCACATTCTTCATGTGTCTAAGATTTATCTCTTTGCCCAGATTTTTTTCTGATTTCTCTGACTATTCACTGTATTTTTAGTGTCAAACTTCATTCAATAAGTAGAACTGGAACGCTTATGCAACATCACAAGAAACCCAAGAACGTCTGGTAAGTAATATTTATTGAAAAGCATTAGGAGGCCTTAAGCAAAGAATTTCAGCAACTGTTATAATTCAAGACAAGCCCTTGAAACAAAAATAATTTTCAGACCCTCCTGCATTTCTTTTTCCTTCCTACCTTCCTTTGGAGGAGGCTGGCCTGTTTGCACCCATCCTTTGTTTCTGCAACAGATTTGCAATCATACTGTTTTCACTGACTGCGTGAAAACTCTCACTATTACTATATTGTGACAATGCACTTCCTTTCTCATGGTTCACTTCTTCCCTACTGGACAGAAGCAGCAGCAAGGGAAAAGGTCGCATACATGATAAGTACGGAATAAAATTCTGTGGACAGGAACCAAGGAACAGAGTGTGCTACCCTCGAGAAACAAAGTAAGTATGCAACAGCGCTAGAGTAAAGGAGAAACTGAAGAACAGGACACTGGGTAAGAGTGCAATCTCTATGAGCAAAATGAGCTTTTGTGCGAATTATAAATATAAAACAGGGTAAGTTTACACCAGTCCTCTCAAAATTCCATAAGCACTAGCGCTGTATAGAGCACTTGAAGGAGGTTTTCACAGCATGTGAAATACCTGTCTTCAAAATGAGATAGCAGTCATGTCTTTTGCAAGGCCCACAGTGCTACTTTGAAAGGGTTTCCAGCTGTATCTGCATATCTATGAATGGCCAACCCTTCATTTTGCTCTCTTCTGAAGAGCTGGGCAGATGTTCCTCAATACTACATTCTGACAGCATCCAGGAGGTAAGAGCAGAAGTACTTCTGATTGGTACCTCTAACCCCCAGTTTCTCAAGCTCTCTGAAAGGCTACCATGGTCTAAAAATGTGGAGAAATCCCTAATATCAACAGATCCCACTGTCCCATCTCTCTCCTGATACAAAGGAGAGAATCCAAAGCCATCGTCAGGGCTAAATTTGGGTCTGAAGCCAGACTGGAAAGGCTCTAAGTATTCTGTTTTCTCTTAAGAATTCTTACATGTCTTCTACTAAGATGACACCTGGGGCCACTAAGAGCCACATCATCCACCAATTATCCTGAAGAGGTGGTTCTCTGCAGATGATTCCACTCAGTTTGCCATGGCAGAGACTTTATAATGGCACCCATATATTGTCCAACCAGATTCATCCCACCACAATCACTCAAGTCACCTGCTCTCCCGCTTTATGATCCTCAACACCACAGTGCAGGACAAAATCTGATATAGAATAGCAGATGCATAGGAGCCTGGAGGCACTGTTATTCCGCACCCCAAGCAAGTTGCCACTAGCAAGGCCAATCAGATTTGAGGAAACATTCTATCACCATACCCTCTGAGCTTCCTGGAATCTGATAGGATCCATTAACCTTCAGAGGTGCACCAAAGACTATACCAACTAACCAACAGTTCTGAAAACTGGATGGGATTTCCAACACTGTAATATTGAATTTCTTTTCAGAAGTTAGTTACTCTAAAGTTAAACTGCCCAGCTGACAAATGCCTTAAAAGCAATCTTAAATTTTGGTCTGATTGGATGAAGTGCTTCAGACCCACACATTTTTTTCTGGTCCTGGATGGCCTTACAAAGCCTCTGAACTTTTTCTGTGAACCTGTACAGCATAATTCTCAACTGTGGGTCATGTCTTTTGATGCATTAGACTGGGCTTCCAATTTCCTGGCTTCGTAGAATGTGAGCCAACATCAAGAAATCTTAACTTTGGTCTTAATCTAGCAGGTTTTTAAACTGCTAAAAAGTATTACAATCCCGATAGCAATTTTTTTTTGCAATATAACCAAATGTTGCTAGTGAATTAGTAAGTTCAGTTTATTCTATTTTTAGCTACAGCTTGAAGAAAAGAAATTGGATCAAATTTAAGAGATGCCTAAAATAGAAACTAAATTCAAGAATGCAAAACAAGCTGCCATGAAGAACAGAACATAAATGCTATATTGAAAACAAGAATACTCCAAAGCCTTAAGGGGATAGCCTGCTAGAGCCATTTATGTCCTCTTACTCATCTTTATTTACCTAATATTTAGTCTAGTATTTTAATCCTTTGTTTGGCTCCCACAGAACAGCTTGTAGGCACAGCTTAAGTTCACAAATATTTAGTTGAACTTATTTATAGAATTCATCAATACAGTTAAGGAGTCCACAAAAACAATAAAAACGTTTCCTCTTTCAGCTGTTCTTCCATATATTTATCCTACTTCATTTCAACAGCCCTCACTCCCTCCATTCTTCAGCAATCTTTGTTCGTTTGTTTTGTAAAAGAAGTAATTATTTTAAGAAAACTAGCAACAATGAAGACTGTTCATTTCATGATTCTCCTTACCTGAAACACCACAAAGCACTAGATCAGATTAGAAACATTTTATTTGCAAATGGACTTCAACAAAACACAAACCAAAAATTAAATTCAAATTGGAAACATCAAGATCCATGCCAAATAACTAAGCCTTACATTAAATAAACACAAGCTATATAAAACTAAAACCAGATTTGCTAAAATTGGCATCAATTTAAACTTCCAAGTCCCCACTGCAAAACCATGCTTTTTCTTTAAAATCATTACCACCAGCCTTAATTTTAAAAACTCTAATATTTAGGCATCCAGCATTTAGAACAAATTCTTCAGTTTTCCCCAATATATGGATAATACAAATCGTTATGGAGAAAATATATCTATGTGGTTGCTAGGAATTGAAAACAACTTGATGGCACCTAATCAATCAATCAATCAATCAATCAATCAATCAATCAATCCAAATCTGTCCCCAAAATCTTAATGTATACTGAAAAATTTGGTTGCTGGAGCAAGGAAAATAAATAACTCCTAGACAGTATTCATTGAGTGTGCTCTACAGAACCATGAAAATCCTAAAAGCTGTTCTTAGCCAATATTTGACCACATTTTGTGAGCCAACATCTGCATTAATGGAATTGCTAATCCTGGTTTAGAGAGCTCAGGAGGAATTTCTTATCTGAATGGTTACATAGAAGAGAAGCCCATGTGAGTAAATGAGTAAAAAATTGCATGCACTATATCTAATGTAATTTGCTTACATTACAACTTTAGCGTAATAACTTTAGTTCCACAGGAACTACTAGTTATCTTATCTATCCACAAGGATATGTCACTTAGATGGGATTACAATGCTCATTTTAAGTATCGCTATGGTGTGAATAAAACAATTAGAAGGTTTGGTGGGAAACCAAAATGCATAATCAATAGAATCCTATACGGAATGAAAATTCGTGAAGCAAATGCTTACTGTACTTAGTCATGTCATGTATTTATTTGCTGAATTTTTATCCTGTCTTCCCTCCAAGGAGCTCTGAGTTTCCTCCAATATGTTGCCATCACAACAACCCCGCAGGCTACATTAAATTGGAATTTGGTAACCCAGCTGAATATTGCCTAGTCAGTTTTATTTATGGTGGAACAGCATTTCTGAAATTCTGATATTCTTCCCACAAAGGATTATGTTCGCCGCAATAAAATGTATACAGCTAGACTTCTATTTTGAGCTTAGTTTTAAGATAATATTGCTTCTTACTGTAGTTCACTGGGACCAGTTCTGGATTCTTTGGTGTTCTGAGTTTGTAGGACACATCCCCAATAGTAACAGTATCATCTGAAAATGAGAAATAATAGTTATTTATCACTGGTCACATATACACACAAACAAGCACACTCTGCTGTCAATCTTACATGTCCTATAAGAACAAGTATGTTCCCTGTTTTAAAACACAGAAAAATCTTGTAGCACCTTATCCACAAAGATTTTGTGGATTACCATCTTGCATCTGTAAGATTTTAATCAGAGTGATAAGACTATGTCTTGTTTTTTTCATTACATAAATGGCAGACATCTGAATTTTACAGATGTCTGAATTTCTTTAGAAAAATTATAGCCAGATTTGATATTATGAAAGAAAGCAGCAGTTTTAGAAAGTTTTTTTTTTAAAGAATGGTAGAAAACTGTTAACTTAGCTATTACACTTTTAGCTTCTAGTTTAGTTATTTTAGTTGTTATACTTTTAGCTTCTAGGGGATGTTATTTTCAATGCCTGGGGCAGAATATCAAACATTTTATCCTGAATATACTTTTTTCTGAGCTCAAGAATGTCACTTCAGCAATTATGATATACAGTAATTATGAATCTGACTTCTGGACATTGACATTCACTGAACACAACATATCATGACAATAATGGAATTCTTTCAGGTATTAAGAAAGCTGGAATTCTTGATAAACTTGTTCTAAATTAAAATAATTATCACTGAGAAGCCAATAAGGATAAACCACATGAAAATGTGATTACAGTAGGGAAAAACAAAAGGACAGGACATGGACAGATGCTAAAATTTTAAAAATGTTGGTATCAGGACTGTCTTTTTGATTGTCGGTGATTATTATAAGCATTTTTTTCTTTTTATCAGTCCAGAATCGAATGCTTATACTAATCACCAACAATCAAAAAGTCAGTCCTGATACCAACATTTTTTAAATGCTACCAACTCTCTTAAATAATCAGCTTTCCCATAAGTGTATTATGAATCCTTCCAAAATAAAGTTATATTTTGCCTCTTCTGGTCAATTACCTTCAAGGTTCACTACTATTTATTTAAGAAGTACTCAGTTTCATAACTACCTGTTTTAGTGGTGTGGCGAAGTGTTTCAAGAAACCATAGGAACCAGAGAACACAATTAAAATGACTGTCACTTTTCTGCACAATATACATAAATTGAGACTCATTCCAGCCAAGTTGCATAGCTAAGCTAAAAAAACTGAAGAGAAGAGGAGGAATACAGAAATCCATCAGCATTTAGAAGATAAGTACAAGAAGGGAAGTCCACTCTTAAAAAACAATGAATTTTGATCAGCATTGTAATTTCAACAGTAGCTCAGTGAGAAACATGCGAAAGGGTCAAAATATATTGCAAAAGTATTCTGCATAAGACATTGGCAAAAGATAAATATGGACACCCGTGACCAGAATAAAATATGAAAGGAAAAAAATGTGCCAAGATTATCCAAGATCTTTCCTCAGGACATTTATATGGATGCTTGCTTCAGTAAAAATCAGTATCAATGATCTCCATGTAATTTATCTGAGAGGTTAAATTACTTCATTAACTCTTAAGCTGAAGCCTCAGGAAGCAGTAAATTTAAACTATAGAAAAGTTTTGCTTTCCACTCTGCAATGTGGGTATTTATTCCATACAATTAGAAACAAGGCTGCTATTTAGTACAGGTAGTCCTCGGGTTACGACAGAATTGGGACCAGAATTTCCATCACTAAGCGATGCAATCGTAAAGCACGATGTCATGTGACCATATCGCTTAGCAGCAGCAATCCTGCAGTCCCAGTTGCTATCATAACCCCAGGATCGCACAGGTCGTTAAGCAGGAAGAGGAGGGAATCGGAGGCAAGCAGCCCGGTAGATGCTGCAGGCAGGTGCTACGGAGTGTGGGCAGGCAAAAAAACAGGAGTAGGAACAACTTCCGTCTTCCTGCTGGCTTTCCCATTGACTTTGCTTGTGGGAAGCCCGCAGGGAATGCTGGAAATCACAATCACATGACCACAGGTTACTGCAACATCATAATTGCAAGCTGGACACTGAGCACCCAGATCACAATCGTGTGACCATGGGGGTGCTGCAATGGCCACAACTTTGTGGACCAGTCATAAGTCCCCCTTGTCCAGTGCATTCATAACTGAACAGTCACTGAACGAGCGGTCATAACTCAAGGACTACCTATATTTGGTCTGAATTTCATGTAGCTTTTTTCTTCACAGTTTTATGTTTTGTACGAATCCAGAAAATAAACATAGTATACAAACACAGGAATCGCTCCTAACAATTGCATCTCTCTCTGATAATGCCCTTTCTAAGTTATGGCACAGGGTCTCCCTTGGAAATGGTGAGGAAATCTGAGAATGCCATTTCCTAAGGAGGAAATCAAATGAAAATGTATTTATTTATTTATTATATTTGTATGCCACACAGAAAAGTTAAGTGTAATTCCTAAAAGAATCCAAAGATCATTTTAGAAAGTTCCCCAGGAAAATCTGATTCCTGATCATGTACACAAGGCAGTCTAGCCTATTTTGTATTCTACACCTCCTCCCTGTGGCTTCTGGCCTCCCACAGGTAGCTTGCCCGTGTCGCAGCTTGAGCAATGAAGAAATGACTCGGTGCAGAGAGCAAAGGCATGAAAGAAAATAATCTCATATTATCCTCACCTCTGCCCTCCCCCTGTGAATGCTCATGCTCTCAGAGAGACATACAGAGAGGCTCTTTATATGGTGGGGGCATTCCCAGGAAGCACGTGACTGATAGTAATTAAAGATAAAGTAAACATGGAAATGTTAACTTATTACAGGATAC